TCAGAAAACAGTATCTGGAAGATTTACCCTGGCTTAATTTTAACCCATCTTGGTCTTGTCCTGATTAGTTTATTGAAGGCTAGTTGCTTCCATGCATCTCTACAGAAACAAAAGGCAAGGCGACCAGATATAGAAGGCATCTGCTTATGGTCCCCTGGCAATGCCAGTTTGCAAAAGGGGGCACAATTAAAGCTTTTGGGCTGCAGGGATATCAAATAAACATTTGGTTATTCAGAAAGTACAAATTTATAGATTGCCTTTTATTTTAATGTTAAATTTTAGTTTAGTTTACTTTATTGTCATTGCACCTCGCACAACGAAATCAAACGCCATCTTCAGTGCACATCATGACCATGAAAATAATCACACTTTCTTCACACTCCACACATTGAACCGAAAATCCCCGACACCACACCAACACTGCACTATACAGCAGAATTGAAAAGAGCTACTGCCCTGGGATAGAAGCTGTTTTTCGGCCTATTTGTCCTTGTTTTTATTATCCTGTGCCGTCTGCCAAATGGTAATAGTTCAAAAAAAGGGTTCCCAGGATGAGATGGATCTTTGAGAATGTTTTGAACTTTCTTAAGGCAGCGGGAATTATAAAGCTCTTCCAAAGAGGTGAGAGGGCAACCAATGATCTTCTGGGCAATGACATTAACCCTCTGGAGCGCTGTCCTATCTGCCACTGTGCAATTGGTAAACCATAGAGAGGTGCAGTAAGTTAAAATGCTCTCTCTGGTGCAGCGGTAGAAGGTCACCAGCAGTTTCTCATTCAGTTGGTTTTCTGAGAAGTCTCCGGTAGTATAATCTCTGTGGGTCCTTTTGACCAGGGCTGCAATGTGAACACTCCAGGTCAAGTCCTCTTTTAGGGTAACACCCAGAAACTTAAAACTGACCACTTGCTCCACTCGGTCTCCATTGAAAAGCAAGGGTTGGATGTCTGATCTGTTCTTTCTATAATCCACTCTAAGCTCCTTGGTCTTATTGGTGTTGAGGACCAAGTTATTGTCTCCACACCACGAAAGCAACTTCATCTCAGTAGGCAGACTCATCCCCCCCCCGCCCCCCTGGAGATGAGTCCCACCACTGTTGTATCTGGATTTCAAACATGTTTACAAGCACAGAAATATTTTATATCATGAAAGTGTCAATAAGCAGCACTATCCAAAGCTTTTCTGCTGCATTTTGAAATATACCACGTACACAATCTAATGGTCTATGGAGCCTGTTGAACATTTCCAACTATCTCCAAAATAGGGTCCAGGCAGCCCTTGACTTGCCATCACACCTGGGAAGATCTGGTCATTAAGTGATACAATCACTAAGTAAGGCATATCACTAGACCTGACTTTACGGCCTCTGTCAGGTGAAGCAGCAGTTGTTAAGCAAATCCCATGGTCGTTAAACGAAACAGCCTTCCCTCGTTGACTTCGCTTGTTCAGAAGCCAACTGGGAAAGTTGCAAATCAAGACCCCATGACTGCAGGATGTTGCAGCTGGTCATAAATGCAAATTGTTGGCTGTGTGTCCCAATTGCAATTGGGCGATAGTGTGGGTGTGGGTGTGGGTGTGGGTGGGAAATAACAGTCATTAATTTTGAAGACAGATTGCAGTCACCTTTTTTCGTTGCTGTTGTAACTCCAAGCAAAAGGAAATGCATAAAGGAGTGCAGTCATAAAACATTTTTTATTTATGTACGTATTGGATTTATAAGCTCCTTAGGCAGACATGCAGGACAGTATAATCTCCATCTGCGCAACCCACTTTCTAAGATGCGTCTGACTGCACCCACATACACGTTTATCAGCCTGTCATACTAAATCACCTTTTTCCATGGTCTTCAGCTCAGGTGCGCTACTGACAAAAGTTTGCAACCACTTTCTTCTTCTTGTGCCCTGTCTGTTCTGACCCACGCCCTTTTCCAACAAATCAAACACAATCCCCAAAGAGCAGAAACCTTGTAATGCTTTTACAAAATAATTAGCTGTGATAAACACAAGTCTTGCCAAACTGTGCAAGACTTGCCAAAAGATAACAGACAAGAAATAATTTGCAAAATAAAATTTTTCAAATACAAACTCAGGATACTGGATTGTCCACGAGACTGGGGTTTCAAAACGTCTTTGCCTTCTGGAAAGTAGGTTCGTTTCACAGCTGGCTTTTATCTTCTTGAAGGAGGGGCCATTACTTAGCAGCCTTACTCCTGAGTTGTCCGTGCTGTTGTAACTGCTCTTTCCTCCAAGCAATCTTGCGCGCATGTGCACTTGGCACAGGCTCCTCGGGAACCTCCTCATCGCTGCTGCCAGCCCCCACAATCTCTGAAGGCAGCAGTCCACTCCCTAATAGTTCTGGCCCCTCGAGTCCTCGCTCTCCTCAGCTGTCTGCACCTGCTGCCAGCTAACCACAACACCATCATTGGACGTTGACAATCCTGTTGGCGATCCTATTTTTATCAACAGCCACATGAAAAAGTGCTGTTGAGTTTTGTCCAAACCGGTCCCTTAGATGTTGAAGCCATTGTTATTCTTCTTTTGCCTGGACGTTGTTTGCCTTCAGTCTTTCCTTGGAGGATTAAGTGAAGTAGGATGTATTTTTCCGGGTGTCGCATCACATGTCTGAAATATTCTAACTTTTGCTTTTTTTAAAAATGGTTTTGATGATTTCCCTTGGTTTTCCCAGGCGGCTTATCAACTCCTTGTTTCTGAGTTTGTCAACCCAACTTAACAGCTGCCTGTAAAGCCACGTTCACATTGCAACCAGCAGGGAAACAAACAGAGCATCCATAGAAAAGTTCTTCAGGCAGGGTGGGAGGATCCCAAAAAGTCATGATGGCTGCAGTCAAGATCAAAACCTTGCCTAGTTTCTTCATGCAAAACATCATTTAAAAGGTGGGTAAATAACTCAGCCTTTTGTCGTTGATCATACAAATAAGAATCCTCCACTGGGAATCTGTGAGTGGAAATGAAAGCAGGAAACACCCCACTCTCACCACTTCTTCCCTCGCCCTGCCAGGGAAACCCTACCTGCTGCAGATAACGGAAAAGTGATATCTTTTTTTAGATTGACAATGCATGGAATGGAATGGCATATTTTTATTTGGCCAAGTGGGATTAGACACATCAGGAATTTGTCTCCAAGGTGCAGCAGCTCAGTGTACATGCAAAGCAACAGAATGATAATCATAAAATAATTAGACCTCTCACATCCCGGACATAAACTGTTTCAACTCCTACCCTCAAAACGATGCTATAGGGCACTTTACACCAGAACAACTAGACAGGACAGTTTTTTCCTGAATGCCATCACTCTGCTAAACAAACAATTCCCTCAACACTGTCCAACTATTTACAAAGTCTGCACTACTATTACTATTAACCTTCTCATCACTTCTGATCACCCATCCCCTCCCAGTTGTGACTGTATGACTGTAACTTTGTCGCTTGTATCCTTACGATTTATAGATTGTTTTCTAGTATGATTTGATTGCTTATTGTACCCTATGACTATCATTAAGTGTTGTACCTTATGATTCTTTACTCTTGACAAATGTTTCTTTTATGTACACGGAGAGCATTTGCACCAAGACAAATTCCTTGTATGTCCAATCACACTTGGCCAATAATTCAATTCTATTCAATTCTATTCAAACAATAAGAGGGAGGACTAAGGATAAGGATAAATAAATAATGCCATGCTACATGGGGAAACAACTTGTGCACACATTAGACAGCCTTGTGAGAATTGTGTGTCCGGCAGAGTGATAGCATGAGGGGAAGGAAACAACTGTCCCTGTATCTAGTTGTTTTGGCCTGCAATGCCTTGTACCGCCATCCCATGGGGAGAACCCAAAACACTATATCCAGGATGTGAGAGGTCTGCAGATATTTTCCCAGCCCTGACTGCGCAGTATACAGGTCCTCAATGGAAGGCAAGGTGGTTGCAATGACACTTTCTACAATCTTACCTATCCGTTGGGAGTCTGCACCTGTCCCCGATTGGTTGCTGTACCAAAACGGAGAGTTGTTGAGGTACAAATGACAGACTCAATAATTCCTGTGTAGAACTGTATCAACAGCTCCTGGGGGCAGTCTAAATTTTCTGAGTTGACACCGGAAGAATATTCTTTGCTGTGCTTTTAATAATGGTTCTAATGTTAGGTATCCGATTCGCGTCCTTGGGAGATTCTAGAACCCACAAATTTGAAGGATTCCATTGCTGCTACTGTGCTGTTGAACATGGCCAGAGGTAGTAAAATTGAAGGGCTTCTCCTAAAATCCACTGATCTCTTAGTTTTTTAAGCCTATTCGTCGTCAAGTTACAACTGCACCACAAGGCCAGTTGTTCAACCTCCTGCCTACATGCAACCTCATCACCATCTCGAAATGAGGCCAGTGACCATTGCACCATCTGCAAATTGCCCAAATGTACACAATTTACAGGTGAGGAGCATAAAAAAAAAGATGACACACTTGTTAAAATTAAAACTTTTATTCTGGAAACCCTTTAGCAGGGAAGTACAAAAATTACTACAGAAGTTCTCAACTTAGGACACCAGGAAGTGGAATTTCTGTTGCCAAGCGACGTGATTGTAAATTATGTGACCACCCCGAGCTACAACAGCAATTCTGGCTCTCCGTTGCGGTCGTTAAGTGAGTACCCACACCAATCCAAGCCACATAGCACTGAACCTTGGTAAGGGCTTGTCTCCAGCTCCCATCATCTCTCTTCCATCCTTTTGCACTCTGCCTTGGTGGGCAGTTCTAGAACTGAACCATTCAGGGACTGTTGGCAATACCACCGGAAGCCACGGCCATCTCAGCCCAATCCTAGCCCCCCTTGCCATCTTATACTCCAAGACCCTGCCACCTGCACTCCGCCATTTTCTTACTCCCACTATGAGGCGTGCTCGGCTGCCAGATTTGTTGTTCGACTGCTTTTGGCGTTTATATTTTTCTTCCCGCGGCCCTAAAGTCCAGCTCAGTAGTCAGGCCCAGTTCCCCTCAGCAGTAGGTGCAAGATTGAGTTCAGCTAGGGTGGTGGAGTGCAAAGAAGGGCATATAAATGGAGGAAAGAGGCAGGGGGGGGCATTAAATTGCCCCTTTAGGCATAATTTTGAGTGGGCTGCCAAATCTCCAAATTCAAATCATGTGAGTGGCACTGCAACAGCTGTTAACTTCAGGTGTGGCTCTTAAGTCTCAAGGACCATTATGAGTTTGAACAGTCACTGAACAGAAACAGTCATATGTCAAGGATTATCTTTATAAAATAACAGAGGTTTTCTTTATAAGGCACAACTAGATGTTTCTTGATAGCTAGGGTCTAACACCAACCCCAATCTTAGCGCTTCTATTACCACAATGACATTTTTCAAGCCAAACTGCAAAAATCAGCATCGCATTTTCCCCAATATTCATGTTGTATAATCAACAGGCAAATATACAAAACAAGGAAATGTAATACTAATCTGGTCTAAAATGAAAAAGTGAGGATCACATGCTTGTTAAACTGAAAATACGAATGTTGAAATTGGATGCCAGAAAGTGTTACATTAAATCATTAAAAGAGAATACCACAAGAGGAGGAGGAAGATAGGCACAGAAACATGATTGTGTTAGTTGAAATAGGAAACGAAGAACTTTAATCATGGATCCAGAACCACAGGTATGTTTTCAAACCGTTAGATCTTACAGGTGATGCGAACTTACACTTGTACGCAGAGCAAACAGGAGTTTCCTTTGATAATCACTCACTGTATGTCTCTAATAATAACAATTTGCATCCGTCTAGGTCGACAAAAGAATATAATTTGTCCAACCTTATTGATGGATTAAACACCCATCCATAATAAACGTCATATATTAAAAACTAAAGGCTGAAGGAGGACAAAAACTTTGTTTACTAAGAAACAAAGTTAGTAAAAACGGATTAAAAACCCTAATTATTATTATTTGTAGAAATTTCTGGTATTCTTTCTTAAAACATCTTTTGTAATTAAAAATAAGAGTCGAGTTTCCATTCCATCAACAATAGCGGTTCAGCCTTTCATACTCCTCTGAAGGTACCTATTGTTTCCATAAAATTGGATTGATTTGAAAAAAAGGCCTTTAAGGCATTTAAACTACTAAGAAGATTATGGTAATGTAAAAGCATTTTTTTAAGATAAAACACATTTCTTTTCTTCCCTGTAAAAGATAAGATACGCAGGATAAGCCTGATGCTTCTCAAAAATGACAAAGATAGACGGGTTTATTGTGTTATCCACACAGCTGTCGTAAGAGTTGAGCACGTTGGCCAATTTTGCAGGTGGACGGGTGTAGACCTGACGCCCCACCGCAAATTCTCCCACTAGAACTTGAGCTAAAAACATCGCCTTCTCATCCTCCTTCGCCTGACTGTAGTTGTCTGAATAACTGGCATCTCTGGCAAAGTAGCTTCCTGGAAAGGAGCACAGGGGGGGAAAAACATTCAAATTGCTTCATACAGACAGAGCAATTCCTTGACTCTAACCCAGGGGTGTCAAACTCAAGGCCTGGGGGCCGGATCCAGCCCACAGAGTGCTTAGATCCGGCCTACAGGCCTGCCCTGAAAAAAGGGAAGGACCGGCCTGTGGTACCTCTTCCAGTGAAAACGGAGCTCTGGAGGGCCACATGCAAGGCTCCTGGGCTCCGTTTCTGGCCACGACGGCCTCCTGCGGCCCTCTGTCAGTGAAAACAGAGCCCAGGAGAGCCGCATGCCGCACTCAAGGGCTCAGTTTTCACTAGCACAGGGCTGCAGGAAGCCGTCGTGGCTGGAAACAGAGCCTCGTTGAGTGACGTCGAGCTGGCCATGCCACCACCACCCCGGCTCCCCTGAGGTCAAACACAACCCTGATGCGGCCCTCAAATGAAATCAAGTTTAACACCCCTGCTCTAACCAAACCCTGTGGCCTTCTCACACATGCATGCACATGCGTGCGCGCGCGCACACACACACACAAAGTACATGGCTGGGCTCTGCTCCTAGCCCATGTACTACCCCTACTCATCATTTTCACCAAGTTGCTGGGATGTCACGGAGCTTCCGGTTTCGAAATATTCTTATTTTCCTCCCCAAAAACTAAGCCCGACCACATAATTTCATAGTGAAACAGGGGTATCAAGCTAGTTTGACATATGGGTATATTGTATTTCTTATCATTTATGTTGATTGCGCTGCAGTGGGCTGAGAAGCCCTGTGCTTTTGGATAAAGTTGCTTGGCATCCGCTTTGTTGGAATAAAGTTGTGTAGACAGTCTGCTTCCTTTTTCTGATATTCTGGGTAGCTGCAGTGTGTTTGTGCTTCTCTGAATGATGTTCTCACACGCAGCAGCTCCTCTTATGGCAGTTGTGTTATTATTTTGGTAACAGAAGACATGATTAGGGTCTGTTGTTTTTCTGACAGACTTGTGGTTCTAATTTGCCATCATTTCCTCTGCTGATGAAGAAAACCAGGAAGGACAGTGTGGTTGTTGTTTTCTTCTTCCCTGGTCCCTCCTCTTCTCTTTATTCCCAGAGGAATAAAATTCATGAGGGAAGAAGGCAACAGCAACACACTCCTCTTCCCAGATATCCTTATCAGCCAAGCTCAGAGAACACTGAATCCTTTCTTAGATGGAAAATATCTCAGCCACAAATCATAGCATAGGCCAGTGGTTAACTTTTTGGTCTCCTGTGCCAAAAAGTACATGTGCGCCAGCGTGCACGCATGTGCCAGCACCCAGAATGCAATGCGTGCCCCCCCACGCCCCCTGCGCATACCACGCGCAATCCCCACCCCACCCCCCTTACCTGCACTGTGCCTCACAGCTGATTTTTCGGCTGGTTTGAGGCCTTTTTCAGCTTCCCAGAGGCTTACAGGAAGTGATGAAACAGGCCTATTATTCGTCCTGAAAAGCCTTGCTTTTTCCAAGCCTCTGGGAGGCCGAAAAAAAAATCAGCTGTGAGGGACGTGAATGAGCAGTGAGGTAAGTTTGCCTGCAGCTTGCGTGCCAGTACAAATGGCTTTGCGTGCCATGGGTTCGCCATCACGAACATAGGCAATAGTGTGGGGAGAAAAACTTGTGAGTGGTTCCTGATGACTCCTGGGTTCCTAATGACTTTAGGGACATCTCCACATAATTTCCTCAGCAACTTTTGCTCACTTTTTTAACCCCCTAATCTCCAAACCAGGCCACCACCCTAACGTTTCCCACGGCCTCTTGTTCCAAGTACCAACCAGATCTTCCTAAGCTTCGGAGAAGCTTCCAGGCAAAGTCAGGGAAATGCTGCCCCCTAATGGGTCAAAAGGAAGAGCAGCTCAGCATGATCGGTCTTCCCTGGGGACAAAACTCCTTCCTGATTTGGTTCCAAGCACCTTAAAAGTGACGTACCTTTCCCATAAACGGTCCCATTTGTGCCACAGAGTCTCCAGTCAAAGTTGTCGGTGCAGATAGCTTTCAAGCTAGAAGAGCTTGTGCCATGGAAGAGGAGCCTTTCGTCAATTTTCTGTCCCCCTTTCTTCTTCTTCATCTGCTCCTTTTGCCTGGAACAAAGGGAAGATTTAACTTGTTCTACCCACCGCTGAGGCTGAAGGCAACTACGTTCCTCCATAGGGGCCGGCTGGCTGCTCAGTTCAGCACCACAGAGAAAAGGGGGCACTTAGGAAGGCAAACTTTCTGGGACGATAGAATGATGGATCGTGTCCGATGAGAACCACATTCCTCTACCACTGAGCTACAAGCAAGACAAAATGTTCTGACCTAGGCTTCCCCAAAAGCACAAAGCCGACTCCTCACCCCAAGAAATCCCTTTTATTTAGTTTAGTTTTATTTAGTTTTCAATCCTACGTTAACTTTGGATGGTTATTAAATGAACTGTTGTAAATCAAAGACTACCTGTGCTCACTTTTAATTCAGAGATTTGAATTCGGAACTTTGATCCTGTTGGGGGCGTTACTGATATCTGCATTCTTTTTTTTGAGGGGGGGGGGTAGGAGACCCTACCCAGCTTAAATGGACTCCAGAAGATGATAGAGGACAGGAAGGCCTGGAGGAAGCTTGTCCATGGGGTTGCGATGGGTCGGACATGACTAACCACAACAGCAACTAACCACAACAGATTCTGGATTCCGAAAGATCATCAGGCATTTCTGCCCTCTGTTAAGGCCAGAAGGCTTATTTTTCAAAAACTCTACTGCAGGGGTGGGATGCAAACGTTTTTACTACTGGTTCTGTGGGCGTGGCTAGGTGGGCATGGCCATGTGACTGGGTAGGTGTGGCTTCTTCTTTTTCCCCTCCCGACGATCAGCTGTTCCGATGATCAGCTGTGCCAGGATCCCCCTCGCTTTGCTTTACTGCTTTGCCCGGGCGGCAAAAAACAGAGCACACCGGGAGGGGGGGGCAGGACATACACATACACACACACCCTGCCCCTTTTTGCCTCCTGGGCCTCAGGGAAGCCTCTTGGGTGAAGCAGGAAGACAATGAGGGGAATCCCGGCACAGCTGATCATTGGAACAGCTGATCGTCGGGAGGAAAAAAAGAAGAAAAGGAAAAAAAAGAAACACCATTTCAACCAAAGTGGTAGCTGTGTTTTACTACTGGTTCAGCCAAATGGTAGCATTTTTTACTATCGGTTCGCCCAAACCGGGCCGAATCAGTAGAATACCACCACCGCTCTAATGAAGTTGATGATAATCCCATAATCAAGATGATATACTTTTGCTAGTTTGTCTATAATTTATTTTACCCCTCAGTCTAAGAAATTGTGCTTTGTATGTGTTGGAAGAGACCCTGAAAGGTCATCTAGTCCAACCCCTCTTCAAGCAGAAGTCCCCCCCGCCCTTACCTTCACAGGGATTTGCCACAGGGATCATAGGAAAGACAGAAATCAGGCAGGCATGTAGCTTGATGGTATTCCAAACAGGGTTTAAAATTGAGCTTTTTTGGAGATTATCTGGAGAATGATCAGGTTGGCATTCTCTTCTTCTGCAGCTAATTATGACAATGTTTTGTGGACTCCATGTTCTCATTTTTTAATTAAATTAATTACTAAGAAACTTCAGTGTCTATAGGGCAATGTTACTTCAAGCAGGGCCACTTTGAGATGTGTGCACTTCAACTCCCAGAATTCCCCAGCCAGCATGTTTACCATTCTGAAAGTGGCCAAGCTTCACAAACACTGCTATAGAGGTATAAAAATTAAAGATATCATCCTCTTTAACCAACCCACAATCCCTTGTGGGGTGGAGTCTGGGCAACTGAATGGAGCAGAGTGTTTACTGGCTGGATGCCTTTCCTGTCACCAATGTGGAGTTATATTCAGCAGATATTATCTCAACATGCCCCGAGAGAGAAATGTCTCTCTCTACCTAGGGTCAAACTAACAGCCTCCTGACTGTGACGTGACAGCTCCACCTCTAGGCTACCACACCACTTCTATAAGAATTAAAGAGATGAGAAGCTATATAGAAAATTGAAAATGGTAATAAGATATGGAATGGTATACAAAATGAATATGAATTTGAATTTGTGTCTGTACAAAGAGTTGTAACCCGGGACTAAGCAACTTTCAGAAAAGATGTTTTTTATGTTTCTATGTTTTGTGTTTTTGTGTGTTTATGTTTGATTGAGTTAATAAAACCTTGGAGGAATGTTAGAAGAGGATAATTGAGAATAAATGATAGAAGAGAATAAAGCAAGTCAGAAGAAAAAAATAAGAATAGTGAATAAAAACATATAAAATAGATAAATATAGAAAAGAAATACAATTGAATAAAAGGGAGAAATAATGAGAAACTTGAAAGGATATGTATGTGTTTATAAGGAGATGTGTCAATGGTGTATAAAATGTTTTATTCGTTTTGTTAAAATTTACAATTAACTTTCAGAAAAAAGGTTTTAAATTCTTATGTTTTATGTTTTGTATGTCTTTAAAAATTAATAAAATTTGTTTTTTTTTTTAAAAAGAATTAAAGATATGCATCTAATACATTTTGAAGGTCGACTGAAATGTCCTGGGTAATTCAGTGGAGGTAATAAAGTGACCACCTTAAGAAGTCATGATGCTCGGCTTCTTGTAACATTGATAGCAATGATATATTAAAATAAAACACAAACCATTGGTAGACTTGCCAAAGAGATGGGTTCTGAATTCGTTCTATTTTGTGAATTTTATAGTTTTTCATCGTCAGCTGAAAGAGATTCTCAATTTTCAAGAACTCCGGAGAACCTTTGTTGAGTTCAATGGCCTAAAACCAAAGATATTACAAAGTGTTGAAGACATTCTTTGTCATGACTCCAGAAAGAAAGGGAATGATTTATTCAATTTAAATTCCCAAATTTGAATACTTGGAACCCTTATAAATTTGAGTTCACATCGGATTTGGAAAGACTACAGAGCATCAACCCCCACGATGAACAATGGCATTATATTATATTTTCTCCTCAGATTGCTACACTTCTCTTCCTTACGTTTTGGCTTTTTATGGAAATCACGAAAGACCATAGGGGTAATGAAGCTATAAATAAGCACCTCTTCCTCCCCCCCACTAGAACTTCCACCAATCAGCCTTGTAACAACAGGTTGTGAGAGAAATAAATTTATTTTACAATTTGAACTTACATATTCTAATGTACTTCTGGATATTTTAATGCAAGCCTAAAGACAACATATGCTTTTCAGGCACCTACATACTATTTTTCAACAATTCACTTAGAATATTAGATTTTATTCAGGTGAAAACTTTTCTCTAGCACTGCATTACACTGGAATATAAGCTTGCTATAAAATAGGGAATAGGGCAGTTAGAAATATACCTGAAAAAAGAGGCAAACAACATCAAGAAATCAATTACCGCGTATCCAATAGCAGGTAGAGCTGTATTATCCCAGTTTGGAGGGTAAATTGGAATTGATACGGGAGATGCTATGGGTGTAGGAGTTGTTGCTGCTGCTGCTGTGTGTCTGCGTAAATGCAAAAGAAAAAGTGGAGGGACAATGGTTAATCTGCTCTATCTAGTTTCAACTACAAGAACCAGTCTGGGAAAAAGCAAAAGGAACAATAAAAAAAAATCACGAACTCTCCAAAATGGAAAAAAAATGTTGCAGCAGAATTCTACCCATCTTCAAACACAGCTCCTTTTCAAGAAATTAGAAAAAGAAGGAACAAAGCAAACTAAAACAAAAGAATATCATGGCGCTCCAGCTACCAGCCCTGGACTACATCTCGCTGTTTGAGGACAACATTCTCAAAGACTCTTCCCATCCTGCTCACAATCTTTGTGGACTGTTGCCTTCTGGCAGAAGATACAGAACAATTAAAACTCAGACCTCACATTTTCTGAACAGTTTTTATCCCAGAGCTATAATTGCATTTAACAGTGAACTTAAGGATCACCATCAGTGAGCTGTTGGATAGTATTACTTGGTCTGTTGTGGTGGATGCTTGTGTGTTTTTAGGGGGCGGGGAATTTTGGCAGGTGGGGAGGTGTTGGGGTATTGTTGTGTGTGTGCACATTGAGCCTGGTCTCTGGGTGTTATGTGAATTTCGTTGTATGTGTACACTGTGTATATACAATGACAATAAAGAATTCAAATCAAACTGACGCAAGGGGTCTTAATTACATTCGGAGACTCCCACAGCCCTCTACTTTACCCTTTCTTTGTCTTGACATCTTCAGGGGAAACAAACTTGGGACGTCTCCGGACCTCTCGTTGGGTAGGATAGTTCACATTTGTCTGGATCATTTCTTGAGAAAGAGGATAGAATGTTTTTAGGTTGAAAGAAAGGAAAAATCCAAAAGTCACAGACTATGCCTAGAGAAAAGATGCAGGGAAAAAATGGGAGCTTTTATCTCCATATCAGATTCGAACTACTGTATTCTTTGGACTATAAGTCGGTGGAAATGTCTGTGCGCCTTATAGAGCCAATACGGGCTCATTTTTGCCCTCCCAAAGCTTCCGTGTGTCCTGTTTTTTGCCCTCCCCAGCATCCAGAAGCACTTCCACAGGCCTCATTTTCGGCCTCCAGAGGCTTCCACAGGTCCCGTTTTTGGCTTCCACAAGTCCCATTTTTGGCTTCCAGAGGCCTCCACAGGTCCCGTTTTTGGCCTCCTCCAGAAGTCCTGTTTTTGGCCTCCCTGACATCAGGGAGGCCAAAAATGGGGCCTGTGGAGGCCAAAAACAGGCCCGTTTTTGGCCTGCAGAGTGCTTCTGGATGCTGCGGAGGGCAAAAATGGGACGCCTAGAAGCAAAAAACTATTTTTTTTTCTTGTTTTCCTCCTCTAAACCAAGGTGTGTCTTATGGTCCAGTGCATTTATGGCCTGAAAAATACGGTATATCTCAAAAGCTGGAGTAGCACCTTGGCCCCTGCAAAAACTCACAAATTCCAAAGTCCCATTTTTAACCTCCGGAACTTTCTTCTTTTGGAAGACAACCTAAATGTTAGAGGATTAAAGGCCCTCATTTCATCTCCAGAAACTGGAATGGTTTTAGTCTTCATCTCCCTCTTCAAAATGCCAAAAAAAAACAAAAAAAAAAGGCCAGTAATTCTGGCTCTTCCCACTTGGCCAACAAAAATCATCAGAAAACAGGGGTGCCCCAGGAGGCACTAAGCAAATTATAGCTCTGAGGTCAAAACTCAATTGCTCGTTTTATTCAGTGGGAATTTGAGAGCAGAGCAGCAACCATAATAATAATAAAAAAAATCCTCTGTGCATAAGCCAATTTACAAAAACAATTTCCACTTAATGTCAAGATCGTGTTGAGAGAACCATACATGGGGAAATTTGAACAGACGGTACCCTCAATCCGTTGAAGTGGGATTCCTTACTTTTAAAGCTCAGCAAATATTTCTGAGAGCCAGCTTCAAATTGGATATTTCCATTTGGATCTGCTAGGAAAAGATTTTCCAGGTCATCTGAAGTTAGACTGGCAGGCTGGAGTTGCTTGTCCTATAGAAATGAAGTATTATATGTCATTTTTTGGACAGTTTTTCCCCGCATGCCATCACTCTGCTAAACAAATAATTCTCTCAACACTGTCCAACTATTTACAAAATCTGCACTACTATTACTATTAATCTTGTCATCACTCCTTATCACCCATCCCCTCCCACTTGTGACTGTATGACTGTAACTTTGTCTCTTGTATCCTTATGATTTTTATTGTTTCCTAGTATGATTTGATTGCTTATTGTACCCTATGACTATTATTAAGTGTTGCACCTTATGATTCTTGACTCTTGACGAATGTATCTTTTCTTTTATGTACACTGAAAGCATTTGCACCAAGACAAATTCCTTGTGTGTCCAATCACACTTGGCCAAAAAAGAATTCTACTCTTATTGTTAGAGGGTAAGGACTGTTTCCCTCTTCAAGCACATTCTTGAGTGAAATACTTAGGCAAGAATATATTCCGCGTTGACAACATGAGATAGTCCTGAACTTATGATTGTTCATTTAATAATGGTTTGAAATTACAGCCTTGGAAAAAGTGACTTATAATCTGTCTGCAAAGTTATGACCATCGTACCATACCACCCTCCCACAATTGCAATTCCAGTGCATGGCAACCAGCTCCCGTTAATGAAGGTGGCAGCATCTTGTAAGTTATGTGATCACAATTTGTGATCTTTCCAACTGGGGAAACTGTATTTATTTCATGACCGAGTGATTTGCTTAGTGAGAACAATAAAAGTGGTCATAAAATCAGGTCCAGTCACACGATGACTTATCGACTGAAATTCTGGTTGTAATCAAGATCATAAGTCAAGGACTACCTGTATTTAGAACAGGTATTCTTTAAAACACCAAAGAAATCCACTGACATGATAATAAGGCCTTATCAAAATCCTGTTCTACCATCAGCTTCACTTTTTCTGTTATGTTTATGCTCGTTGTCTTCTTCAAGGCAAACCAGTTTTAGCTCCACTGCTAGCATCTAGTGTTAATTATTCTCTATCAGTGTTTTTCAAACTTGGCAACTTTAAGATGGGTGGACTTCAACTCCCAGAATTCCCCAGCCAGCATGGGGTGGCTGGGTTGGATGGGGAATTCTGGGAGTTAAAGTCCACCCAACTTTAAAGTTGCCAAGTTTGAAAAGCACTGGTCTCACCCATAATTCACATACAATGTAAGAGAATACCATGTTGCTAGTAAACTTTCTCACACATTCTTTCCTCCTCCTGAAACCACACAAGGAACATGGAAACTACCAAGGGGAGGGAAAGAGAAATCTATCACATAACCTCTAAACCTTAACCTTAAATCATTGCTTCTCCTTTCCTAACACTGTGTCCAATCCAACAACTAAGGAGGCAAGACTGACACAGAAACACCACAGTTAATTACTAACGTTGGAGAAAAAGAGGTTAGTTATGGAATCTTGAAAACTAGACAGCAACACTCATATGTCTTGGTGAATACTTTAAGCCAAGGTGTTTTGTGAATTGTCTGGGCTTCTTTCTCAATGCCATACTTAAGAGTCAATGCTGAAATGTCTGTCTGCTCTTGGTCTGATACACTTTGAAAGCTTCCCATTTTCCCCAGCAGATGATGAGCATGGATATCATCATCTGTCAGAGTATATTCATGAACTGGAATAGAGCATAGTAATAAAGTCAGCCAGTGAAATCTGTCTGGAAACTCAAAACTAGAAGTAGCCTAGAGTGGCTCTATATTAAGCTCGGAAGCTAGGTTAAGCTCTGAGTCTGCCTCTTGAAAGTGAAACTAACTTGTTTGCTTGCCTTCTGAACTAAAGTAAAACTGATGTCTGTTTCTGAGCCCCTGAGTTGCTGTTCTGCTCTGAACCTGTAACATGTCTGCTTCTGTTTGAGTTTGCTACATGTTGGAGAAATCTACAACTGGTATTGTAAAATTTACTTAATGTGTTTATAAAGAAGTTAAATGAAGCCTCAGCCATCTGCGTTTACTTTTCTGGCGCTGAATTTACACTGCAAAAACTCTGAACATTATCATGGTGTTTTCTGACCTTGGTTGTTTTTATGCAGATGTTTCATTACCCAAACTAGGTAACATTATCCTAGTTTGGGTAATGAAACATCTGCATAAAAATTACCAAGCTCAGAGAGCACTCCTTGATTGCTACAAATGTTCTCTTTTGTGAGCTGAGAATTCTCCTAGGACTGGCACCAGCTAACAAAGCACTTCTACGGACTAGAGGTGCTGCAGTCCTCTACTGACCTGTTTCCCATATTCGATCCATTGGCCCAGGTCATTCTTCCAGTACCACAGCCACTTGGTTGTCATGACAAACTTAGGGTCTTTGGTGACGGATGACACAGTGGACAGGCGCCGAATTGGAACCATGACAGAAGTCATGGTCACGAAATCTAGCTCTAGAAAACTGTGAAGGAGAAAGACTTCGGCTGAGTTTATCCACTCTGCTAAATCAGGCTAGTTTTCTCTCCCCTCCCGTGTCCTGACAAGCCATAGTTGGCTGGTTTGACTCAGGAGGCTAAATCTTGATCCATGTCTAACAAACTTTGTTATTAGGGTTTGCACAGAATAGGCAGGTGCACTTCTCTTGTCTGCTGCTTCTCCGTGGATTCTGGGTTTGATTTTAGTGAATTCCAAGCTATAAGGGAAATCTTAATCTTCTTCCATTTGTATATCCTTTCCCCGCAGGGCTTTGTGTATAGGCTTGGGGCCCTTTTTCAACTCCAGGTCTGAATCCTGGAGATCTCTGTGTGGAGATTTCCCTCAGATCCAACCTAGTTCCTTTAAAAAAGGAACCACCTTTAGATGCTCTTGGTGAGTTTGCTGTTGTCAGTCACTAAAAGAGTTTTTGTTACCAATCAAAAGAGAATAGTATGGAGCTAAAAAAAAAAGTAATTGATGCATTTGAAGATTGAGATTTGGGAAGGTGGAGCAAAAGAAACCCTTAAGCCAATAATGGGCCATTCAGAAAAAAAAAATCTGTGATGGGGGAAGACACACACCCCTCTCCTTAGATTAAATGCAACTTATTTTCTTTATTGCTTAATCATCATAAAATACAGTAAAAACTTCGCCCGACAATGGGAAAGTGCAGCTGACTCATGAAACGAAAATTAAAACAAATCTTGTTTGCTTATTGGGAAATTAACTTCATCAAAATCAGCAAATATATTCACAGGAACATTGATTTGCTTGGGGGGGGGGGGGAATCCCTTTTCTTCCCTAACAATTTGAAATGGCATACAAATCATTCTCAACAAATTGGGACCAGACTTTCCATTGCTAAACAAAACATACGCTAAGCGTGTTACATCCTGTTTTGTGGCTTTTTCTGCCACGTTTAAGCAAATCACTGAGGTTTGCTAATCAAAAGACATTTTGGAAGGTCACGCCCCTGGGATGCTACAACTATCCTCGATACATACTGGTTGCAAAGCACCAGAATTTTAATTATGCGGCAATGGGGATGCCGCCACAGTTGTAAGTCGAGGACTACCTGTATCTAAACCAGGAGATTTGCTAGAAGGGAAATATGAATATTTAGTGGTGGGATTCAATTTTTTTTATCACCGATTCTGTGGGCGTGGCAGGGGAAGGATACTGCAAAATCCCCATTCCCTCCCCAGCCCACTAACCTGCTTTCCAGCTCCATTATCCTGTGCAGGGCAACCAAAGAAGACCCAGCCGATCTGCTGGGACTCAATGGGAGGCAGAGAATAGATGGAGAATAGCCAGTCACAGGTAGTATTTGCCGGTTCTCCAGTCTAATCAAAATTTCTGCTACCGGTTCTCCAGAACTGGTCAGAACCTGCTGAATACCAGCTCTGATTTGAGAGTTGGACAACTTAAGCACCTCAGGATTATTTACAAGATTCCAAAAAAGATGGGAAACTAAAGCACTTATAGACTAAGGTTTCTTTGAAACCAAGTTTTTTTGCTGCTAGCTTAGCTTTCACCCTCTGGATCCTGGAGTAACATGATGAGATTTTTACTTGAATGGCCTTCTTGGTTAACACACAGCTAGAAATCTGCTTGTTTCCGTAAGTAACATCTCTTTAAAGTTATGCAACTCATCTTTCTTGTAACAAAACAGCAAATTTGGTGCGTTGAAACCCAGAACCACTGAACGGGAAGGTGCCCTTGGTGTACCTGTAAAAATCCGCAGGGGGAGAGGTGTGGCATTATCACTGAAGCCCCACCCCCTTTGCATGCTTGAATCCTGAAGCCGCCATCTTGCAAATTTTGTTTATCTTCTCCTTGCAGAGGCCCCTGGCATTAGCTCACCATTAGCTCACTTTTTCTAAAGAAAAGCACCCAGGGTTCCAATTCCATCAGGGAAAAGCAAATAACGAAGAGCATAATTTCATCTTCTACCTGGTAATATTTGGGTCACAGTAAGCCCTTTCAATTTCCTCTCTTCTGGGAAGATCCTTCCAGCCGTTGTTGGTGAAAATCTGCCACCGATAAGGAAGATCATAGTGGATCATACTGCAATTATCTACAAAATGAATGAGCAAAAAGTAAATCATCTATGCTTCTTTATACATTTTATAAAACAAGCTTACAGACACGCTTATTAGAAAAAGTACAGTGGCTGGCTCTTTGGGAAATATACTTTGGGTCAAATTTCCAGATAAAAGCAAAAATCTAAATTCATCATTTTCTAGCTGATAAAAAGTTTTGCCTACTCTGCAGGATGTAAATCCAAAGTCAACAGTAAGGCTCAACTTCGTATCCTCTTTAGTTATGTCCTATTTTCAGATTCCTATAATAGAGCAGCGAACCTCTAGTTTATCAAGTGGCATTTGTTACATAAACTGGGTTAGATCTCCAGGAAAAAGCCATGAAAATCTGTATCTACATCAGGGGTGTCCAACCTTGGCAACTTTAAGACTTGTGGACTTCAACTCCCAGAGCTGGCTGAGGAATTCTGGGAGTTGAAGTCCACAAGTCTTAAAGTTGCCAAGGTTGGACACCCCTGATCTACATGATTGCCAAACAAACCATACCTTTCCTTTCTCTATTCCCTCTTTTTTTCCCTATTCTATTCTAGAACAGGGGTCGCCAACCTTTTGGACCTCAGGGACCACCAAACTCATAATTTTAAATCCCAGGGACCACTAACTGGTTCTGTGGGTGTGGCCTAATTTGTGGGTTCGGCTTGGGGGTCATGTGACTGGCTGGGCATGGCTTGTATGTAAATATTATAAATATTTATATAAATATTGATTTTTTTTTTAATAACAAAAGAGCAACTTTTTACCCCAAATCAGGCAAAGCAGGCAGGCAGACTGAGTTGCTCACAGATTCATTCAGAAATCTATCTATCTGCCATTGGCTAGCTCAGTCTGTCACATAAAATTTACTTGCAAACAAACTCATAAAATTAACTCACAACACACCATGCAAGTAAATATTGATTTTTTTATTTTTTTAAAAGAGCAACTTTTACCCCAAATCAGGCAAAGCAGGCAGATTGAGTTGCTCACAGAATCATTCAGTGATCTATCTACAGTATCTTCCATCGGCTAGCTCAGTCTCTCAAATTTGCTTGCCGTGAGTCTGCACTTTATTTGCTTGCTAGCAAACCTTCAGTCCCCTAAGGGAGGTTTGGCTATATTTAAAAGCAGAGCCAAAGATCTAAAGACGAGCTAGAAAGCAAGAAATCCAACCATTTTCTGCTTCCTAGCTAATCTAAATCTTCTGGCACAGCAGAACAGATGATAGTCAGAAAAACGAAAAATAGAAATTTAGCAGGCAAGTTTGCCAGGTAAGGAGTGAGTGGGAGGGGAGGCTTCTTGCGGGCCATGTGGGCGGCACAGCCTTGTGTTTCTGTGCAGCCTGGATTAAGTGCTCTGGGGGGTGGGTGCTCTGGGGGTGAGATTTCTCTGCGGCCCACCAAAATTTTCTTGTGGCTCCTTCGTTGGCGACCGCTGCTCTAGAGCAATGTTTCTTCACCTTGGCCATTTTAAGATGTGTAGACTTCAACGCCCAGAATTCCACACATTTTAAAATGGCCAAGGTGGAGAAACAATGATCCATGATGAACTTATTATAGGCAGAAGAGCAGCACCCATCATTGTTGTAGGCTGGATGAAATAAGAAAGCAAAGGTTATTCAGATTCAGTCAGAAGTGATCAAAAGAGGCTGAGAACAGCAAAATGGTTGACTGCCCTTTGATGAGGAGACAGGTAAGGTAAATCATGCCACCAACGATCTCAATGGATCCCTCGCTTCACCTGAACATCCCAGGATCAACCCATAGTTTGATCCACATCCACTTGCTGCTTTCTAAAGCAAGCAAGGGCATTTAAAATAAGGCAGAGACACTATAGCTAATGTAGATGGAACCTGCAAAGACATTACAACTCGCAAGGGCAAATTAATTGTCATCTTCTTCTCTGCGACTTACTTTTATTTTTACAAAACTGCCAGACATAGTGCAGACAGATATTATCGCTTTTTGCCTTCTCTGCACTTGGAGATCTAGGAGCTCTTTTTACACCTATAAAAAAAGAGAAATTACAGAATGGGAAAAGATTTGGGCCAGAAATAACAAAATCGGCAACATACAAAGAAAAGGCTTATAAAATGTTCTACAGATGGCATCTTCCTCCTTCGAGATTAGCAAAGATGTTCCCCAACATAAATCCAAATTGCTGGAAGTACAAAAAGGAACATGGAACATTCTACCACATGTGGTGGTCCTGTACAGAAGCCCAAAGATATTGGCAGAAAATTAAAAAAATGGTTGGAGGAAATTACGACTGAACAGATTGAACTCAAACCAGAATCCTTCCTACTAGGGATATTCAACAGACAATTCCCCCAAAAAGTCAAATATATATTACACACACTGACGGCAGCTAGATTGGCCTTTGCACAACGTTGGAAACAACCTTATACTCCAACAGAGGAAATGACTATTCAGAAAATAGTAAGTTGTGCAGAAATGGATAAATTGACTCTAGCACTTAAGAGACAAAGAAACATCAGAATATTATAAGAGTTGGAACTGTTGGTATGATTGGATAGAACTAAGATAGATAATATAATAATAAATAACAATAAACTGTAAAAGAGGTTAAGCTATAACTGTAGTAACTATATACTCACACTAAAGTTTAATTGTAAATATGATACCAATAATAATGCAAACCACAAACCGTCGATAATGGAAGTGTCTTTTATTTGTTTTTCTTGTTTTTCTTGATTTTTCTATGTTGTGTATGTGTGTTGTTCATTTAATTGTAAAATCAATAAAAAAAAATTTTTTTTAAAAAAAGAGAGAAATTAAGGGACGTGACATCCTGCTTCAGTAAAAACCACAGAACAGGGTTCTTTCCCAAGTGCAAAAGGAGGGACTCTCAGTTCTCTGCTCAGGATTAGCACCTCTTGAATGATGGAGGGTGCAGAGGGGTTGGTTCCCAAGTTGTAAGACCCAAGACCCACTGACTGGAATCCCTCGCTCTCCTTTCAGCAGGTGCTATTTCAAGGATCCATCTTAACAGGTGAAAATATGGGAGAACACCTTTTAGCTTGTGGTGCTCTATGCTCCGTTTGATTGGGGGTGGGATGAAGATAAGCTATCTTGGAAGATCATCTAACCCAAGGGTGTTAAAACTTGATTTCGTTGAGGGCCACATCATGGTTCTGTTTGACCTGGGGGGGTGGGCGTGGCCAGGTTGATATCACTCGTGTCGGGAGCACCTGTGGCAGCCCGAGCATTCTGCCAGCGAAAATGGAGCTCAGGGGGGCCAAGCTCTGCTTTCACTGGCAGAGGCACCGCGGGCCAGTCCTTTGCTGTTTCCAGGGTGGCCTCGTGGGCCAAATCTAAGCACCAGATCCAGCCCACAGGCCTTGAGTTTGACAACCCTGATCTAATCCAATGCAATACCCGCTGCAGGAATTCACTCTATTTAAGCAAATTCAGGAGAATCAAGCACTTCCCGAGCAAATTCATTGTTGTTGCATTTCCCGTCAGGAACTTTTAGAGAAAAACTCCTTGTCCATCCTAGCTCTGAGGATGTGTTAATTCTCAGTACCAGACTTCTATACAAATAAGATATGTATTTATTAACCTACCCATCTTTCTTAACCTCCTCACATCCAACTTCCTGTCCTACAATCCTTTTTGCTTATTACATTTTTTTTAACAGATAGTCCTTGAGTTATGACAATAGAGGCTGCCCATTACAGCCATAAATTGTGACAGATGTAAAAATGGGTCAGTTACCACATGTTTTGTAGTAGCCATTAAACAACCATTGTGGATTAAGCAAACACATGGTTTGTTACAGGTGTGGTTTTGCTGAAAACAGGAAGTTTTCCAGCAAAACTGTTGAAAAATGTTGTCACATAAATGCGACCAGGTTGCCAAGTGCCCAAAATTCAGTCACGTGACTGCACACTGCACGTGACAACCATCAGAACTTTGGAACTGGCTCATAAGTCCTCTTCTTTGGGTCCACTGTAACTTGCAACGGTCACTAAACAACTGATGATAAGTGGAGAACTACCTATACGCATCTAATGAAGCAGAAGTTATGTGATGCAGGATGCGTTAACCCTCTGTCTCATAAAATTTCTCAACCTATCAAATTAGACTAGTGTTTCTCAATGCGGAGAACTTGAAGATGTGTTGACTTCAAGTCACAGAATTCCCCAGCCAGCATATCTTCCAAGTTGACAAAGTTGAGAAATACTGATCTATATAGATGGATATAGATGAATAGAAAGCCCATACAGAGAGTAGTAGGGACAATCGAGATTATAGGAAGCTTGCTTCCTGTTACTCAGGGTACTACTTATAAGTGCTATGTGCTTAGAGCTCAAAGCATTGTTAGAGACCCCACATGCCCACTTCATGGTCTGTTTCTGTTGCTCCTTTCTGGGAAGAGGTTTGTAGCAGGACTACCCAATTCTGTTACAGGTTTCTTCCCTATGCCATCCGTCTGGTAAACTTGCAGGATTCATTTTTCTCGCCATGTACATATGTACATCCAAACTAGACCGTGTTGTTTCTCTGTGTCATATAATATATGTGCATATATACATAATTTTGTATTTATTTACTTTGTCATGTTTATGTAGTATATGTTGGAGATAGAGACTCTTTTGTATGCAACAAAATTTCATTTTAATGAATGCCGATTAGTGTACATTCAAAGTGACAAGAAAGTTTTTCTAAGTCTGCAAACACAAAAGTGTGCACCTTGATGTAGTCTGGCCCTAGTGACACCCAGGCCTGGCCCCAACAGCCAAAGGTGCTAAAAAAGAATTGGCTTACCTTGGTCAGGCAGATCTATTTTCAAGTTATTTGGGTTCGATGTTACCGGAGGTCTCTCATTTTTGGGACGTGCATTTGGGTATTCTCTCTCTGCTGCAGCTGCACAATTTGGGATTCCTACAAGAATGGACAGGAGATGATTTCTACGGTTTTGTTGATTAAATAGATTATAGAAAGAAGAATGCTGTACCTTATCATTGTTTATAGAAGTGCTATGAAGATTGGAAGTCACTTCTTTGTATTTTCTCCCCTTCTCTATTTTTCTTTTTGCCCTTTTAGCTTTCTCTTTTATTTCTTTTACTTTTTCTTACTTTATTTTTGCATTAGGTTTAATGGAGAGGAGCAAGTGGCCAGTGTTAAGTTTCTGGGTGTTACCCTAAAAGAGGACCTGACCTGGGATGCTCACATTGCAGCCCTGGTCAAAAGGGCCCAGCAGAGATTATACAACCTGAGACTTCTCAGAAAACAACAACTGAATGAAAAACTGCTGGTGACCTTCTACCGCTGCACCATAGAGAGCATTTTAATTTACCGCACCTCTGTATGGTTTGCCAATTGCACAGTGGCAGATAGGACAGCACTCCAGAGGGTTAACGTCATTGCTCAGAGGATCATGGGTTGCCCTCTCCCCTCTTTGGAAGAGCTTTATAGCTCCCGCTGCCTTAAGAAAGTTCAAAACATTCTCAAAGATCCATTTCATCCTGGGCACCCTTTTTTTTTAAACTATTGCCATCTGGCAGACGGTACAGTATAATAAAACAAGGACAAATAGGCTGAAAAACAGCTTCTATCCCAGGGTAGTAACTCTTCTGAATTCTACTGTATAGTGCAATATTAATGTGATATCAGGGCTTTTCAATTCAATGTGTGGAGGGTGAAGGATGTGTGTTTTGTGTTTATTTTCATGGTCATGATGTGCACTGAAGATGGTGTTTGATTTCGTTGTATGAGATGCAATGACAATAAACTAAACTTCCTTTCAAAATCTTTCACCAAAATTATCGAGGGAGGGAGGGAGTTTCAACAAGGGAATGAGAAAAAGAGATGTTCTGAAATAGGAAGTGGCCCCAAGAAGCTTGGAAGTGTGTAAAAGGGCTCACGAAGGTCCCTTATGAAGGCAGCAATCCTGGCGTCACAAATGGCTTGGATGTTCCAAATGGTGTCTTGATCCAGGCCTTCGGAGATCAGCAGACTCGTAGCAAGGGGATCCAGAAGATTGTGAGACCTTTTGCAACGTGGGAAACGGCATTCTCCTTTGAGAAAGTAGCGGCAAATGTGAAGCCGGGAGCAACTATCATTCAGAGTGCAAGTCCCTCCCCCTTTGTTATAGGCACCGCACACCTGGAAAGAGAGAGAAACAGAAAGACACCAATATTGGGATCGCACAAATATTTTACACCCTTTTTGCCTAGGTATCAGTGTCATCTTCCTTTCTCTCTACAATTACAGACCTGGCCATACCACCTGGTACAACCCTCTGCCATGTGTAAGAAAACCAATTCTTAGAGGAGACTGTCCAGCCTCTTATTAAAAGCCCCAGAGATGGAGAAGCCACAACTTCTGTAGATAAGACTTTTCCAATATATCCTTTTTTTAAATTATCAGGCTCAGAACTTACGTCACAAACCAGTACATGAATACAAACCCTAAAAGAACCCAGCTTCAACGATGATACAAGACCACGTGTACATCCATCCATCCATAATTCAATATATGTATTAACTTAGATCTGTTAATGAAATAAAAGTAGCGTAAGGTAAAAGTTCCCCTTACACATATGTGCTAGTTGTTTCCGGCTCTAGGGGGTGGCGCTCATCTCCGTTACAAAGCCGAAGAGCCAGCGCTGTCTGAAAACGTCTCTGTGGTCATGAGGTTGGATGACTAAACGCCAAAGGCGCAGGGAACATTGTTACCTTCCCACCAAAGAGGTCCCTATTTTTCTACTTGCATTTTTTTACATGCTTTCGAACTGCTAGGGTGGCAGAAGCTAGGACAACTTACAGGAGCTCATTCCATTACACAGCGCTAGGGATTTGAACTGACCTTTCTGATCGATAAGCTCAGCGTCTTAGCCACTGAGCCACCGTGTCCCTATAAAAGTAGGGTGGATAGCTTAAATCGGGGGGGGGGGTCCTACTCAATGCCCGTGGGCCAAATCCGGCCTGCGATGTGGTTGTATCCAGCCTGCGGAGCCATCCTGGTCTATCCAGTGCGAAGCGGAAAGATCAGGCCAGCCTTGCCTTGGCCCGATCTGCCCAACGTGAAGAGGAAACATACCAGCAATTTGGGGAGTAGTGGCAAGCTGGCCACACCCACCCAGCCCCGAGGTCAACCACAGCCCTGATGTGGCCCTCAATGAAATTAAGTTTGACACCCCTGGCTTAAATGATATGAAACAAATCTGAAGCAGAAGATCAGGATACAGAACATTGCTCCAACTGATAAGTTGTGGTTAGTTGTGAAGTCGTGCCCAACCCATCGCAAACCCGTGGACAAGGTTCCTCCAGGCCTTCCTGTCCTCTACCATCTTCCGGATTTAAGCTCACGTCAACTGCTTCAGGGACTCCATCCAGCCACCTCCTTCTCTGCCATCTCCTTCTTCTTCTTCTTTGTCCCTCAATCGTTCCCAGCATTAGGCTCTTCTTCAGGGAGTCCTTCCTTCTCATGAGGTGGTCAAAGTGTTTGAGTTTCATCTTCCAGATCCAACTGATAGGAGATGTTACTAAATCATGATTTAGTATGACATGCAAAACTGGTCTTCCAATGAGAAAGTAAACCTGTAGGATTTGATTGTCTTAAATCTTCTTTTTCTATTTCTCTTTCAATTTCATACCTTTTTTCTTCTTTTGCCTACATTAGTAGTCTACAGACTACTTATATAGTTATATAGTGTGGGACCAAGCTTTGGGACCTTCATTGAATCTTTGGGAAATGTTAATGGGTAACATGGAATCCACTGCATTGTTCTTTATAGGTGCCTTTCCAAATGTGTCTTCTTTCGAAGCAGAGGCCTTAATATTCAACCCTGAATCTGTTTCTAAGAAAGTTTGCAGAGTCATGCTTTTATCAGTATTATTCCAGGGCAGGCTAGCAGTTCATGAGAATTTTTAAACTGTCTTTTTATTCTCTTTTTACAGGATGTGAACTTTTTTTTTTAACTCAAAGGACTCTTAATAAACACCAATTGTAGTGTGTGCTTAGGCGCCATCTGTTTGACATACACTTTGACACTGTATGTTTATTGGCCATTCTAACCATGTTTGTGTATTAACACTTGTTTGTTAGCCATCTCCAGGCGAGTCTTGGGATGGCAGCTATAAAAAATTGAATAGATTCTACAAATAACACATAACCTTCAAACATGTTGTGTCTGTATAACATGTTGTGTCTGTACAACATCCCTAACTCATTACACTGAGCAAGGATTTTGTCCTTCATATCAGAAGCCGCAGTCTGGGAGAGTAGATTATCTGACCTAAGTCAGATAGACAAGATCTATTCTTGCTAAAACAATTCTAAAACCAAAGTCTGGTGAGATCAGTGGCTCTGTAACAAATAACTGGTCTGTAAGTTCGGATAACTTACATCAGGTAAAAGAAAAGGGTCGTTCTGTAAAAGTAAAACGCACAATTCCTCTTCATTAAGGCCAGAGAGTTCATGGTTTTTCAAAATTTTCCTGTTTGTTTCTGAGAAAATATCATGTGAATACTTGCAAGAACTAGAAGAGAATAAAAGAAACACAGATAAGTAAACTACTCAAAGTTCTTAAAATTATAGATGCATTTATGGAAACTCTTTATATTCCATAAGCCTATTTTTTCCCTTCCAACTCTGAAATGCTACTTCACCCTGAAAATAAATACCAAGGATTGGGTCTCACAAAAGTATTATTCTAAGACGGGGGGGGGGGGGGGGGGGGGGGGG